GATGAGGCCTGTGAGGTACCCCGAGGCTGGTCGCTGGCACCACCGAACTGGGTCTCCATCGGGGTCTCGCCTCGGGATCACATGGTCGAGCGACGGGAAGAGGCACCTGCCGAACATCTCGCCGCAGTTGCCTCCTGCAGCCAGTGCCACCCCCGCGTGCCGAAGGAGCTCGGGCGAGGCCTCGTCCTTGCGATAGGCCGCGTGGCCATCGCAGCCGTACAGCCTGTGCCAGATTGTGCCAGGTGCGCTCCTGCATATGAGGCATTCCCTCTCTGAGGCCAGGCCTCTCTTGTAGAGCCGCGACTGGGAAAGTACCGTGCCTGAGATGACTGAGTGGAGTGCCGCCCGCTGGTGCTGCTGCCAGCCGAGCGACTCCTTGGTCCTGCCCAGGCGCTGCAGCGAGCCCCAGAAAAGCTCCGAGCTCTGGTGGGGGTAGAGCCTGAAGGTGGCGTCGCGGTCCGACCACCTCTTGGCCGCGCCCTCTGCTAGCTCCTTGCTGAAGGACGGCGAGACCCTGGCGAGGTCGACCTCCAACCCCTGGTCCGTGGTGGCATGCCTGCAGCCCTCGATGGACCAGCCGAGCCTGTTGACGGCGAGGAAAAAGGCTGCCACGGGGTCCCTGCAGGTTGCCCATGGCCGCTTCGCCGACACGAGCCGCTGCTTGGCCTTCTCCAGCAGCGTGCTGAGGGCGAACGGGGTGGGGTAGCCCAGCCAGAGCGCCATGCCGAACTGCAGCGCGACCTGGCCCGCGTTCACCACCGCGGGGTCCCTCTCGATGCCTTTGGGGAAGCACCTCAGCCTCAGGCCGACTGAAGCACCTGGCGCAAGGGGCCCTTCACCACGCGCTGCAGCCACACGTAGCCCGTGCAGGACCGATGGGGGCGAGGCCAGTCGTGGCTGAGCCCCAGGTGGCGGCTGCCGTGGGGCCGCCCCTCTGCGCCGTGGCGACCTTAGCGCCAGCCGTCCTCAGTATCTGCAGCCGCCGAGACCTGCCCAGCGCATCCTCGACGCGCTGTGCCCCGATGGATGTGCGCCTCCAGCGCCCGTCGTGCACGTCGTTCCCCAGCAGCCTGTCACGCTGCGTCCTGCCGCCCTCGGCGGGCCACTCCGAAAACAGCTGTCTCGCAACCTCTGCGTCGAGTGTGAGGTAGCATAACTTCCCGTAGTGGACGGGCACCCGCTTCTCGTCAAAGCCGTCCAGCAGCATGCGCATGGCGGGTCCCAGCACAGCCTTCACCATGCCCGTGGTGCCGACCGCCTGGAGCGCGAAGTCGTCGACGACGCTGTCAAGCCGCACGCTGGGGTAGAAGGCCGCGACCTTCTTGAAGGACCTGAAGAGGAGAAGCTTGGCAATGCCCGTAGCGCATGAACAGCCTGCGAGCACCGTGCCCGTAGCTCGAAAGGGCGCGCTGCAGGCCCCGTCGACCGCGATGACCCTGAAGCCCGAGTACGTGACGCAGCAGGCCCTGAGGAGCTTGACTGGGAAACCCGTGGAGTTCGCCTCCACCAAGAGCTCCTTGTGGCTGATGTTCTCGTAGAACTTCCGCAAGTCGCCCAGAACCGTGCCCGTGCTGAGGCCCTTCCCGTGGGCCAAGGCTGTTAGGGTCTCGTGTGCCCAGTCAGCCCTCTCGCACGTGTTGAGCTCGCCTCCGGTGTACCAGGCCTCATGGTGCTTCGCCTCCCATTCCCTGACGATGGGCCCTCGCATGGCCGACCAGAGCCGAATCTGAAGGCAGGTGGGCGCAATTCGCCTCCTGCCACCGTCGGCCTTGGCGCGGAAGACGATGACAGAAAGCCAGTCCAGGTAGGCCTCGGGCGCGTCCTCCCAGCTGGCCAGCACTTCGAGGAGCCTGACAAGGAAGGACTCGCCCAAGCGGAGCAGCTGCCTCGGGTGGAGCTGGTCCCATCCCAGGCCAGCCCACCTCCCGTGCCGCTTCAGCAGGTACCTGGGGCTGTCCACCTCGAGGTGCGGCAGCGGCTCGGTTGCCTCCCAGCTGGCCGCCTCCTCGAGCCCCCCTCGGCGTCGAGGGTCGAGCCAGAGCGGGAGCCACTCCTTGAGGCAGTGCTGCACTGCCTCCTCGCCGTTGACGGGAAGCGCGCCGCCCTCGTCCTCGTCTGCCGTGACGAGGGTCGCCTTGGCCAGCGGCTCGGGCTTGGAGAAGCGATGGGCCAGCTTCCTCACGCCCGTGGCAGCACCCTTGGCCCAGGCCTGCCACTGCTTCCTGGCTGCTGCGGCGTCGCCGCGCTGGCTGGCATGGTGCTGAGCCCTGGCGCGCTCGATGAGCCCCCTCCTCAATGCCACGTCGCTGGAGGTAGCTGCGGCGCCCAGCTTTCCCCTGGGCACAGGGCCACAGCTGCCGTCGTAGTCGGCCAGGCGCATCGCATTCAGGCGGCTGCCCAGGCTGGCCAAGCCCTGCGAGTCCTTCCCTCGCGCCGCCAGCAAGTCGGCCCGCTGCAGCAGGCTGACAAGACCGCCCCAGGAGAGGGTTTCCTGCGAGCTGAGCTGTGCCCAGCGGCGACGGCTGGCGTCGGCGATCGAGACGTTGACGAAGCGCACTCCGTCTGCCCTGCCTGCGAACTTCTGGGCCTCGTCGCCGCAAAGGTCGTGGAGCGGGAGAAGGTAGCCCTCGGCGTGCCTGAACCACTCCTGCATGGCAGCCCTCGGGCTAGGGGGGGGCGCGCCCGCTTCCCAGGTCCAGGCAGGCAGCGGTGCCCAGGGGGTGCAGCCGATGGCCCGAACAAGCGGCAGCCGCGCTGTGCGGTGTAGCTGCTGCACCGTGGCGTCCGCACGCAGCCCTCGAACTTCCAACAGGACGGGGCTGTGCGGCCCGATCGGGGATTCGACCACTGGCCCGTGGCTGAACACGAAGTGCTGGAGCTCGTCGGAGATGACCGCGTAATCCAGCTCCCTGAGCACCCCCGCCCTGCAGGTCGCCGCGCCTGTCTGCAGCGCGAGTCCTCCAGCCGTGGCCGCCCACGCCGCGAGCTGGAGGGGGTCCATGTTGAAGTCACCAGCTAGAATCCACGGCCGAGGAGCCACTCTGAGCTGCGACGCTACGTCCCATAGGATGTTTGCGTCGGCCTCGCCCATGCCCTCCCCGTCGCGAAGGTAGACCGACATGAGATCGATGGCGAGCCCGTCGCCTATGTTGACCACCCGTCTAAGCACGCGGCGGGGCTGCTTGAACTTGGCGTCGATCGTGGCAACCGCAAGCCGCTGCCGCACGCCGATGCCCACCCCGCCTGAGACAGACAGTTGCCCTTCACCCGTGCTGAGCCCTGCAGCCAGGTCGAAGTCGAAGCCGCGTTTGCGATGCCACCGCTGGGCTGCCTCTCTGCCGCCTTCACGCACCCGCGTCTCCTGCACGAAGGTGATATCTGCAGCTGGCCGCCTCGTCGGCCCTGCCACGCCGAGACTGTGCAGGCCGTCCAGCCAGTCGAGGAAGTCCCGATATCCCTTCTGTGTTCGCATTGACCGTGTAGAGCCACAGGCTATCAAACCCGAGGCCTCTTGAACTGTGCCCCGATGAGGTCGCTGATGCGCTTGCGCCGCTGCTCGTGACTCTCGCCTTCTGGGGCGTCCTCCATGAGACTGTCGACCAGCTCGTCGGGGACGGGTACGGACTCTTCTCCTGGCTCAGCATTGCAAGGGGCATCCTCGCGGCTATCCCCATCGCCGCCGCCAGCAGCACCAGCAGCAGGTGCAGCGTCGTCGACAGCGTCCAGAGACTCCTGCTCCTTCTTGACGACGTCCTGCAACTGGATGAGTCCGTGGAATACTGCCTGGTTCTCCACTGCCGTAATTAGCCTTGAACTGCTCGAGGACCTTGGCCAAGCCCCTGAGCCCGTCGCCGAGGACGCCTGCGGCGTGGCGGGACTCGATCTCGGCGTCGGCCGCCTGCAACTTGCCCTTGAGCTCAGCGACCGAGTCTTTGGCCTCGCCGATCCGCAGGTCGAGCTTGGCACGCTGGTCCTCGAGCTCTGCGACCTTGCCGAGCGCCTTCTGGAGCTGCCCCTCGAGCTTCCTGCGCTGCCCTTCGAGGGCTGGAAGGCTCTTGGGCTTGGGCGGCTCTGAGTACTTGGCCTCCACAGCTTTGACGCAGCTCGTGGCCTGCTCGCCTCCCCCGAGCTTCTGGAGCTCCTCCTTGAGGTCACTGAGGGCTGTCAGCTTGGCCTTGGCGCTGTCCGCCTTGAGCGCCTCGACCTGCTGCCGAAGGGCGGCCAGCTCGCTGTCCTGGCGCTGGAGCTTGTCATGCTCCCACGGGGCCAGCTTCTGCCGCGCCCAGACCCCGCGGGGCTGCGGGTGGCTGCCCGGCTTGGGTCCGCCCTTGATCGCCTCCTTGTGCGCCTTCCTGGCAGCGTCCTCAACCTTGGTGGAGCACCGCCTGTCGCATTCTCTGCACCTGAGCCTGCTTGCCCAGTTGGATGCGCACCCACAGGAGCAGAGCCAGAGCGGCAGCTTGGGCCCGCGGAGCACCACGCCTGCCCCCTCGGGTCCGTTGCGCCCATGGCTGGCCATAGCGCGCGAGAACTGGGGCAACTGACTGGATCGCACTGAATCGTTGAAGAGGATTTTGGCCCCGCCAGCACTCCCCCAGAGTGCTCGCAGCGCCACTTCGTGACTTGCACCCGCTGGGAATGCATGGCCTTGAGCCAAAATGGCTACGGAGTAGTAGTAGTAGTAGTAGTAGTAGTAGTAGTAGTAGTAGTAGTAGTAGTAGTAGTAGTAGTAGTAGTAGTAGTAGTAGTCGTAGTCGTAGTAGTAGTAGTAGTAGTAGTAGTAGTAGTAGTAGTAGTAGTAGTAGTAGTAGTAGTAGTAGTAGTAGCAGTAGCAGTAGTAGTAGTAGTAGTAGTAGTAGGAGGAGGAGGAGGAGGAGGAGGAGGAGTAATACAAATAACACGAATAACAACAATACGAATGCTAAGAACAATGAAAATAATTCTCCAATCAGAGCTTGCCTCTGTAAGGGGTCCTAGCGGACTCATATGGTTATGTTAGGCTCGGCGCCGATTTTCGCGGCACGCCCGGGTGCCCGGGTGCCCGGGGGTGCCCGGGGGTGCCCGGGGGTGGTGCCCGGGTGCCCGCGGGTGCCCGGGCGTGCCTGGGGGTGGCCTGGTGCCCGGGCGTGCCCGGGGGTGCCTGGGGGTGCCCTATAGCCCTATAGCCCTATATAGCCCTATATAGCTCAATAGCCCTCCAACTCTATAGACCTATAGCTCTATAACCCTATAGCTCAATATTATGCATCAGGTTAGGTTAGGTCTGCCGCCGATTTTCGCGGCACGCCAGGGTGCCCGGGTGCCTGGGGGTGCCCAGGTGCCCAGGGGTGCCCGGGGGTGCCAGGGTGCCCGGGTGCCCGCGGGTGCCCGCGGGTGCCCGGGCGTGCCTGGGGGTGCCCTGGTGCCCGGGTGCCCGGGTGCCCGGGTGCCCGGGCGTGCCCAGGGGTGCCTGGGGGTGCCCGGGGGTGCCCTATAGCCCTATAGCACAATAGCCCTATATAGCCCAATAGCCCTACAACTCTATAGACCTATAGCTCTATAGCTCAATATTCATAAGGTTAGGTTGAATTTGCCGCCGATTTTCGCTGCACGCACGCCCGCGTGCCCGGGTGCCCAAGGGTGCCCGCGGGTGCCCGGGTGCCCGGGTGCCCGGGTGCCCGGGTGCCCGGGCGTGCCTGGGGGTGCCTGGGGGTGCCCAGGGGTGCCCTATAGCCCTCTAGCCCAATAAATAGCCCAATAGCCCTACAACTCTATAGCCCTATAGCTCTATAGCCCTATAGCTCAATAGCCCTATAGCCCCCTAGCCCTGTAGCCCTGATTGGGTTTTTTCTCCGGTATCATACGAAGTATGCATGCGGATGCGCAGCGTCTTCGGAACACTCGACCGAACAGTCGATGTGGCGCTGCTGGTCTTCATGCCGAGAGACTAAAGACACGTAATTCAGCACAGTCATAGAAGCTGTCGGTTGTTCCACACGTCCAACAGGCAGCGCCGCAACTCTTATTCGGACCGCGGGGCAGGCCGACTAAGAAAAGCGGGCCAGGCAAGGACAAGAAACGGGCAGGAGAGCGAGGAGCCGAGGGGCGAGAAAAAGGGGGAGAGGGAGGGAGGGCGGCAGCAAAGGACAGACCGGGCCGACGGCGGACGGACGGACGGGGGGGACGGGGGGACGGAGAGGGAGAGCGCGCACACACGGGCCAAGAAAGACAAGGGCAAGGAGAGGACGCGGAGAGGGAGAGGGGCGAGGGGGGAGCCAAGAGCCAAAGACAAGGCAAGGCAGGAGGGACGCACTGGGGACAGCGGGCAGAGGAGAAGGAAGAGGCCCACGGCGCAGCGCTCGTGACACGCTCCCGGCACGCCCGGGATCATGTGGCGGGGCGCTGCGCTGTATCACTGTATCAGAACATGGGGAACAAAGAGGAGCGAGAGGAAGAGGAGGAGAAAGAGAAAGAGAACAACGAGAACGTGTTGACTGCAACCGCGGGCATAGCCTGGCGACCAATCAATCATACTTAGAATATGAATACTCGTTCACGAATGGTAATAAAAAGACTTGCAATACGGAACACTAATACACATAATAAGAATTCAATAATAATTCAGTAATGATACTTAACAATTATACATACAATAAGGATAACAATACTAAGTACTTAATACTATTACTTGATAGTAAGAAGTATGATATGAAATCAATTATACTGATAACACTTAACAGTAATTCAATAGAAATATCAATAATCACAACGCTACTACTACTGCTACTACTACCACTACTACTATTACTACTACTACGACGACGACTACTACTACTCGTGCTACTACTCTTACTACTACTATTACTACGTTTACGACTATTATGACTACTACTACTACTACTACTACTACGACTACTACTACTACTACTACTGCTGCTACTACTGCTGCTAATACTACTACTACTACTACTACTACTACTACTACTACTACTACGACTACTACTACTACTACTACTACTACTACTACTACTACTACTACTACTACTACTACTACTACTACTACTACTACTACTACTACTACTACTACTACTACTACTACTACTACTACTACTACTACTACTACTACTACTACTACTACTACTACTACTACTACTACTACTACTACTACTACTACTACTACTACTACTACGACTACTGCTACTGCTACTACTACTACTACTACTACTACTACCACTACTACGACGACGACGACGACGACGACGACTACTACGACTTCTACTACTACGCCTACTACTACTACTACTGTTGCTGCTGCTGCTACTACTACTACTGCTAATACTACAACTACTACGACTACGACTACGACTACGACTACGACTACGACTACGACTACTACTACTACTACTACTACTACTACGACGACAACTACTACTACTACTACTACTACTACTACTACTACTACTACTACTACCACTACGACTACTACTACTATTTGTGCTTCACACGAATACGGCGAATCATAAACACAACAATAGCACTAATACATGCGAAAAACAGTTATACATGAATGCATCAACACATTCATGTCTTAAACTATAAATCCAGAAATATACCACAATGCGAATCATGCGAATGATAATACGGATGACAAATAATCATGATACGACTAGCGAACACAAAAAAATAAAAAGGATGCTGATCACGATACTCTGCATCAGCATGCTAGTAATGAACATGATAAGATGGTGTAGACGAAGATGAAGAAGAAAGAGCAATACTCGGGAGCGGCCAAGAGGGGGGTGTCCAAGAGGGGGGGAGGGTGCAAACCATGACCGGCGGCACGTGCGCGGCCCGGCGGGGGGGCCAGGGACGCAATGAAACAAGAGGGGGCGCCAGGAAGTCTGGGGAAAGATCATGGCCCCCGCCATGATATCCACCCCCCTAGTCATCACCCCCCTCTTTTCCGCCCCCGAAATACAGAAATACGAAACCGATGTTGCATCACAGCAGCAATTCGGCCCCTGACTTTCGTCCTGGGTTCGGTCTAGTGAGGTGATGACTTTCGGGGTCCGTGCGCGGGAAGAAACATCGCTTCACTGATCTGGGGCCTCTGGGGCCTCCGTGGGCCCTGGGGCCCACAATTAGTGAAGTGATGGTTTTCGGGCCTCTCGGCCCCCTCTTCTCCGCCCCCCCTAGTCCTCACCCGCCCTCTTCTCCGCCCCCGACGCACACAAAAAGAAGAGGCCGGGCCTCTCGGCCGGGCAGGAGCCCCGAGGGCTCCCCCGCCGCCGCCGCCGCCGCCGGCCCCGGGGGCGGCGACGCGGCCGCCGCGGGGAGGCCCAGCGCCTCCCGCTGCCCCGGTCCGCAGGAGGGCGGAAGAGGGATGGTCAGAGCCCCGAGTCATCCGGGGTAACTCGGGTCAGGGCCAGCTCGGGTTCGTTGTTCAGGAGTCCCACCCCGAGTTATCCCGGGCCCGAGCTACCCCGGATGTTTCGGGCGTCCAGAGCCCCGAATCATCAGGGGTAACTCGGGTCAGGGCTAACTCGGGTTCGTTTTTCGGGAACCCAAACCCGAATTACCCCGGACCCGAGTTACCCCGGATAACTCGGGCGTCCAAGATGGGGAGGGATGGGGAGGGAGCCCGCAAAGGACGTACGCGCCCAGCTATGCACATGAACGCGGCCCCTCGATCTGCGAGACCGGCCGCGTCGTGCAAACATTTGCGCAACGCGTACTCTCGAAACCAGCGTGGATTCATGTGCGTGCACGTCCTTCTTTCGCCCCCGAATGGAGGCGGGGGGGAGGAGATGGGGAGCGGGAACGGGGGGGCAAGATGAAGGGGGGGAGGGAGGAGGGGAACAGGAGAAAGGGAGGGGGCAGGTGGGAGAGGGGGGGACGATGAAAGAGGGAAGGCGAGGGAGGGCCAAAGAAGGAGAAAGCGGAAAGGGAGAGGGAGGACGACGAAGAGACACGGCGACGAAATGGAAGGACTCGGCAGACGACGGGGGGAGGGAGAGGGGAACGAGTGGCAATAGGGTCGTGAAGGTGTTGAAAAGGGCATGGGGACCCCTGGTTCGCACGTAAGCGGGCTCTGGTTGGAAGCACAAGTACATGCTTGGTCAAGGAGCAGGGGAGGGGGGAACGATGAGGACGACGACGATGCCCGCAGGCGTGCAAGATAAGCCTCTCGCATGCATCGTCGGCCTCACCATCGGGCCCATGTTCCTCCTGCTACCGCTTCTACTCCCTATCCTCCTCCTCACTTCAACGTCTTGCATGGATTGGCAGATCCCCCCGTCATCTGCGCTGCGCACTCGAACGTGGATGAAACGAGCACCGGAGACCAATCCGGCCTCGCGCAGATACTGCTGACGGCATACCAAAATGCAGCGGCAGAATCTGTGAACGCGACAGCACCACCTCGGCTCCGACAGCCTCAAATATGATGTCGACGGCTGCACACAAGCACAGGGCACTACACAGCCAGGGGATGGCATGCAGACTCTATGGTTCTGCCTTGAACGCTAACAGCTGCCAACATGACCCCGTCCTCCTCCTCCTTCGGCAGCTCCTGCATCTCCTCGTCTTTTTACCTGGCATGTATAAACCGTGAGCCGATTCGGCCGATTTGGTGACCTCCTCGTCTGTTCCTCTGCTCCTCCGCCCTCTGACGCGCTTGCTGGCCCGTGGGCCCCCCTGACCCGCCCGCAGGGAAGACGAACCAGACGAGCGCACTCCTGGTGGCGCCGATGAGGGGGAAGCCTTGCGCCGTGCAGGGCGAGGAGAAAGAACAGGAAGAGGAGGCAGAAGAGGGAAGGAGGTAAGAAGGCGCCTCCTAGGCCTCCCCCCTCCCTTCCCCCTGCTCCTTTACGTGCCCTCCGTCCTTTCACGGCACGCGCCAGCGGGAATTCACGTCGCGAGCCGAGAGCGCCCTCGAGCGCGACAGCGCGTGCCATGTAATGGCGCGCAACACTGCGGATAGTGACTTCTGACACTTCGGCACCGGGAGCACTTCGGCTGAGGAGCCCTCAGTCAAGCTCGCCGACCTCATCGTCTTCGCCGTCATCGTGGCACTGCCATCTTGAAGGCTGTCCTTATCTTGGCGTGCCGTCATCAACACCGTGCCGCATGCTGGGAGGACAGAGAGACGGAGAGACGGATAGAAAGAGACAACAGCAAACAAAAAGCAGTAGGAGCGGGGGGGAGAGAGAGAGAGAGAAAGAGAGAGAAAGAAAGAAACAAAACAAACACAACAAACACAACAGAAACACACGCAAAAAAACACACAAAAAAACAGAAACACAAAAAAACAAAACAAACACAAAAAAGAAGCAAACAACAAACACACAAAAAGACAACAAAAAACACAACAAAACACAACAAACACAAACGAAACAAAACAAACACAAAATGCGGGTAAGAGTGCCGGGGGCGGTGGAACGTCGGCAGTCTGCGAGACTCTGGATAAGCCCGCCGCAGGCGACGACGTTTTACAGAGCATACGACGAGCCAGCCATGGGCACTGGTTTGTTCGTTAAACCAATGTGGATAGGTCGCAGGCGGGTCGCAACGGGGTCGCGGGTGGGTCCCTGTTGGGTCCCTGTTGGGTCGCGGGTGGGTCGCGGAGTGGATCGCGGGTGGGTCGCGGGTTGGGTCACGGGTTGGGTCGCGGGGTGGGTCGCGGGGTGGGTCGCGGGGTGGGTCGCGGGTGGGTCGCGGGGTGGGACGACGACAACAAACAAACAAACAAACAAACAAACAAACAAACAAACAGACAAACATCAACAACAACAGCCACAACAACAGCCACAACAACAACAACCGAAACAACAACCGAAACAACAACAACAACAACAACAACAACAACAACCAACAACAACCAACAACAACAACAACAACAACAATCATTTAAGACTGGGGACACTCCGTTCTCACCAGTGCCAGGGTTTTCATAGGAGGCGGACAATACCCCCACTTTGTGGGGGGGCCGGTTCAAGCTCTACCAAATTTCCAAACGACTCTTCGCCACCACCCACACCCAGCTTCCCGCCCTATGACGTTCGGACACTTCACTTCGTGGCATGCGGACGACCGTGGCTACTATTCAGGGCCCCGCGGCCGACGACGACGGCGTGCGCGCGCGAAGAAAAAACGAATGTGTCCCGCATGGTATTATTTGACAGGGATGATGGCCCTGGCAGGTGCGCAACCGTTGTCGCAGAAGTTCGAAAAAGTTGCTCGCAAAAGCCCGTTTGACAGAAATGTTTAAAAAGTGTTGGGTTTCCTACGAATCCGCAAGAGCGCGCGGGATGAGATTTTGACATTTTTTGTTGAAAAACCATTGGTTTTTTGATGTTTTTATGTTAAAATCGCTGCGAACACTAAGGTTTTGGAAGGATTTCGTCTTGCGCGCGCGAATGTCCACTTTACCTTATTTTTTGCAAGGGATTCTTGAAATTTGATTATATTAGAACAAGAAATGTCATTTTCTATTGTTTTTTGCAAGGGAAAGCGGATTACAACAAAACAACCGGATCCTGTACACACCCTCTTTTCTGAGGCTTCCTCACGAAAATGATGAAAATGTAGCTGCGGCCTAGGCGGCGCAGGGGGGGCGCGCACCAGGGGGCCCAACAATAATTATTCTTTAGAATAAATAATGTTCAACAACCGCAACAGCAGCAGCAACAGCAACAACGACAACGACAACGACAACGACAACGACGGCAACAACAACAACAGCAGCAACAACAACAGCAGCAACGACAACGACGACAACAACAACAACAACAACAACAACAGCAACAACAACAACAACAACCACAACAACAGCAGCAGCAACAACAACAACAACGACAACAACAACACCAACAACACCAACAACAACAACAACAACAACAACAACAGCAGCAGCAGCAGCACCAACAGCAACCACAACAATAACAACAGCAGCAACAACAACAACACCAACAGCTACAACACCAGCAGCAGCAACAGCAACAGCAACAGCAGCAGCAACAGCAACAACAACTACAGCGCAACAACGCAACAAGCATAATCCTCGCCACGGATCCCCACTTCAGCCGAGCACCCAGGGAGAACGAAAGACCGCTCGGACCCTTGCTCGGAGAAACACAAGACAACACAAGAACTGAGAGAGGAAGAGAAAGACCGAGCGTACTCAGCGCAACGAGTCTGTGTTCTAGCACGCGCGCGGGCGCGTGCTCACGGAAATCTGGCCGCGAGGAGCATCGGGGACAGGACGAGGAAGTTCAGAGGCAGGACGAGGGGGCTCAGAGGCAGGACGAGGAAGCTCAGAGGACGAGAGGAAGAGAGAGAGCGAGAGAGAGAACGTGAGAGCGAGAGAGCCGGGGGATTCTTGCTCTGCCCTGCTCCAGCCCCGACCTGTCCTCACGAACTCCTGGGCCGGCCTCGCCTCGGCAACGTCGCCTGTCGTCTTCCGCCTTGTCGCCGTCCCTGCACGATTCCAAAGCGGCCCTCAAAAACTGCACGCCAGCGGCGCCACGCGCGCTCTGAGCGCTCCCTGCTGCCACCCGCCCCCTGTAAGAGTGGGCGTCTCCCCTCCCAAAAACACCAGATGCTGTTCGCCTAAACTGCCAGTCCCTCACTCCTTTTCCTAAACGATGCCAATCACGATGCCATCCAAAATCAAGACCAAGACATCGCCCTGTGTTTTGCGATCAATGGCACGGCACACCCCTCTCCCCCATTCCGCCGGCCCCCACCTCCCTACTCGCTTCTCTGCATGCACCTGCCTCGGCCCCCCGTCCTTACCAGCCTGGAACATATCCCTACCCCTATGCTGGGCACCTCCTCATCACGATGCCAATCTTAGGGACTCCCTTATTTTTTGAGGGCGAATCCCTAAGATTGGCATGGCCTTTTGGCGTGTCAATCTTAGGGATAGGGATACGTTCGAGGCTGGTACACCCTGCGAAATGCTTAAGAAATCATGGGTTAAGAAATTCATAGTCTCAGAATTTGAAAAGAAACCCAGAACTTCTATCAACATCTTAGGATTGAAACATTAAGAATAATCGAGACTCTGGCCGAAAACGTAAGTTTTCTTCAGCATCGCCCAGGGTGTAGGGATAGGGATACGTTCGAGGCTGGTAGAGTCCCCTGCCTCGCCCCCGCTGCCCTCCCTCTCCTCGCCCCCGCCCTGGGCAGCCCCAGAGCCAGGCAAGAGCAGGGGATCGCGCGGAGGCGCACCGCGGTGGTGGCGCCGATGGTGCTGGTGGAGGCCACGCCGTTCAGGGTGCCAAGAGCAGCCTCGGGACGGGAGCCAAAAGCAACCTCAGGGTGCCGAGAGCAACCTCAGGGTGCCAAGAGCAACCTCGGGTGGAGGGTGCCAAGAGCAACCTCAGGGTGCCTGGTGGAGGCCACGCCGTTCAGGGTGCCAAGAGCAACCTCAGGGTGCCAAGAGCAACCTCGGGTGGAGGCCACGCCGTTCAGGGCGCACGAAAGGTGTGCAGATGGAGAGGTCAACTGGGGGAACGGGCAAGCGAGGAGCAGCAACCACAACAGTACAAGCAGGAGTGTACATTGGGCGTACAGAAGGTGTGCAGACGGAGAGGTTAACTGGGGGAGCGGGCAAGCGAGGAGCAGCAACCACAGCAGCACAAGCAGGAGTGCACCTTTGCACAGAGGAGCTCTCTCTCTCTCTGTCTCTCTCTTTCTCTCTCTCTCTCTCTGTATGTATATATATATATATATGTCTCTTTCTCTCTCCCCCTCTCTACCCATAGGACCCCCAGTCCCCTGCCTCGCCCCCCGCTGCCCTCCCTTTCCTCGCCCCTGCCCTGGGCAACCCCAGAGCCAGCTGGGCATCGCTCGGACGTCCATCCCCTGTGCTTTTCTCGGAATCGTGCGTGGCTTTCTCGCCAAATGATCAAGGATGCTCCTCGATGGTCCTCGCCGAAGGAAGAATGCACACGTCCGAGCGATGCCAGGTCAGGCAAGAGCAGGGGATCGCGCGGAGGCGCACCGCGGTGGTGGCGCCGATGGTGCTGGTGGAGGCCACGCCGTTCAGGGTGCCGAGAGCAGCCTCGGGACGGGAGCCAGGGCGCACAACGAACGAACGAACGAACGAACCACCACCGCGGACAGCTGTCCGGGCCTGCTCGAGACCTGCTGGAGGAGGCCGTAGCCTCCTTCAAACCTGTACGTATGGACTGCACGCGATCATGCAGATGGACAGCGAGACAATAACAAAAATCTGCGACGGAGGAGGGGAGGAGGGAAGTCCTGGCTGTGGATGTCGTCAACTGGGGGAACGGGCAAGCGAGGAGCAGCAACCACAGCAGTACAAGCAGGAGTGTACATTTGCACAGATGAGCTCTCTCTCTCTCTCTCTCTCTCCCTATGTATGTGTATATATATATATATATATATATATATATATATATATGTGTGTGTGTGTGTCTCTTTCTCTCTCCCCCTCTCTACCCATAGGACCATCCAGTGGATGAGAAAGAGGTCGGAGGAGATGTGTGCAGCCTTTGGTTTGCGGTTGGCGTCGGCTCGGATTCGCAACCACCAACACATCGACAGTAAGAATCCCATCTTTCGGTCCACACTGTCGATCATCTGGTCTCACGTCCGATCTGTGTGCATATATTTACTGTAGATTGCACCATCCAGTTGGTGCAACCTGAATTCGGCAATCTATGTGAAGTGATATATGCTGTGCGACCTAGGTGGCGAATTCTATGTGGTGCAATCTATGTGGTGCAATCCTTGTGGAGAAACCTAATTATGTGGCGGTGACAAGGCGGCGACGGTGGCAACAAATGGCGAAGCCGCCAGAGCGGCTGACAGGCCCAGACGACGGCCGGCGACGAGGCGGCAACGGCGGCACCATAGCCGCCAGAGCGGCAGACAGGCCCAGACGACGGCTGGCGACAAGCGACGGTCGGCGACGAGGCGTCGACGGAGCGGCGACGGCGGCAACGTGGCCGCCAGAGCGGCAGGCAGGCCCAGACGACGGGCGGCGACCAGGCGGCGACGGGGCGGCGACGGCGGCAACCCCCAGGGAAGAAGAAGAAGCAAGAACCCTCAAGTGCAAGCAATGCTCCCCGAAGGGGAAGAAGATGGTTGAAAGAGGAAACGCTATAAGCAACCTGCGCCCTAAAAGCGCGGGTTGGATCAGAGTCGACCAGCATCGATTAGGATCGATTCGCAAGAACCAGCGAGATGGGAGGCTCCCATGAGTTGCCACAGCTTTGTTTGACACAGGGAGTTCTTACTTGAAACAATCCTGAACTTGCCCTGTTGGCAAACCCGTCGGACAAGCTAGAAATTCGGTCGGTCACCCGACTTCCGAGAAAAAAAGTGGGAGCGATATAGTGTCGCGTCCCGATCCTCGAGCAAACGAGCGACATCCTATCAGAGCATCGATGCGAGATGCCAGCACCTACACGCCTGTCAGTGGGCGACGCCTCGGGCAACCTACCCAAATTCGGCCGCACGGCCAAGGCTAATACCAGGCGGGGCCGCCGCTGATAATTTACAAACTGCAAACAGTCCAGCCAGTGTGTTTACCGTCTGACCCCTGCGCCGCCCGCCCCGTCTTTATTTTCTTTCGGCCCCGTCCCTCCTCCTCCTCCTCCTCCTCCTCCTCCTCCTCCTCCTTCTCCTGCATGGTGGCACAATTCGACCAAACGGTACCACCGTTCATGTCATTCATCGCCACCGCAGTCACCCTCTGCCTAGCCGCCGACGCAAAAAAAAATGTTTGCCGTCTGCACGCCCGACCCCCCGCCCCCGCGTAAACCACAAAAGGAAGACCGAGGTGGGTGGAACCGCGACCTCACATGCAGATAACCTGAGCCGATTGTCCTTGAAACGTTCCCTGTCGCTCGCGCCCCAGATCCGTGCCAGGGCCCCCTGGGCCAGGAAGGGAGCCGTACCGTGTGTGTGTAGATATACGTACACATACTAGAACCACGCGCGCTTCGCACGCGCTTAGGTTCTAGCCACGGCTGCGCCACGTTTTGCTGCTCTCGTTTTCGCTCGTGTGATCATCGAAGACGACGACGACGACGACGACAGGGGCGGCGACGAGTGATGACGAAGGCGACCACGACGATGACGACGACGACGATCACGACGACGACGACGTCGACGACCCCTGGAGTGGCCCCGAGGTCCGGACAACTTCCATAGGCCCAGAGTTTCGTCCTAAATGTTTGACGGTCCTGGAGCCCGTTGGAAGCGTCAGGATGCCGAGAGTCGTCCGGGAACTTCGGGATCGGCCAGAGTACCTCAGGGCGTCTGGAAGAGGGCTTTTGGGAGCCTCTGGGAAGAGGGCTTTTGGGAGCCTCTTGGGGTTTCCTGGCGGCCCCATGGGGCCCGCTTAGGTTTTATCTCGGGGGCTCTTGGAGGTTTCTTGGGGTCTCCGGGGTGTTTTTTAGAAAGGATGGCTCGAAATGTCGGGTGGGGCAACCCTCGGGGCTGTGGGGGAGCTGTCCTGGGGCCCTCTGGGACCGTCTTGGGGGCCTCCTGGCTAGTCGAGGGCTCTTCTGGAGCTGTCTTTGAGGCCTCTTGGAACTCTCTTTGGCCGTCTTGGGGCGATCTGGTCGGCTCCTGGGGCCGTCTTCGACGCGGTCGGCCCCGAAGCGGTGAACATCGTAAACATGCACGTTTTCCAAAAGGGGATGGGGCCAGTTTTGTTTCTGGAGGCGCTCTTGAGAGTCCTCTTGGGGGACTCTTGGGCCGTCGTGGGGGGTCCCGGAGGCCGTCTTGGAACCATCGTCGGCGCGTTGGAGCGACAATTTGGGGATTCTGGGCGCCCCTGGACGCTTGGAGACCTCCTGGGATTCTCGGGTGGCGTTTCGAGGCTGTCTGGGGCTGTCTCGGGGGAGCCCCAGAGTCCCCCCGGGGCCCTCGGGGACCGTCTTGGGAGCCCCCTGCACAGTCGAGGGCCCCTCTTGAGCCGTCTTGGAGGCCTCTTGGAACTCTCTTTGGCCGTCTTGGGGCGATCTTGTCGGCTCCCGGGGCCGTCTTCGACGCGGTCGACGTGTCACTGAGGGAATGGACACATGGATCTGCGAGTCGCAAAAGGACAAGCGGAGACGGTGCTTTTCTCCGAGCCGCGACCTCACGGGCACACGGTTGAAAGCGCCTAAGCCAAAGTGGCTACACCACGGGGGCGGGGAGAGATCCAAAGGGACCAGAGGGGGAGAACACACCACGGGCCCTCAAGGGCCTTGGGAAGACAGCGGGACCAATTTTCGTGGATCGAACACCGTCGCCGTCATATATGAGGAAAGCCGGGCACGAGTCGTCGAACGGGCCGCTCTCTTCCTCCTCCTCCTCCTCCCTGCGCTGGCCGGGCAGGCCGCCGGGCCTCGAAGTTGTGCGGGGCGGTATGCGGGGCGGGCGCCGGGCCGTCGCCGCCGCTCCGCCGCCGCTGCCGCTGCTCCTCTCCGCCTCTCCTCCTTGCCCCCCTCTACCGCCTCTGCTCGCCTCTCCTCCCTCCTCTTCCTCCTCTGCCTCCTCAAACCTCACCTTAGCTCCCTCCGTAGTCACCGCCTGAACCTTAGCATGCTCGCTCAAAACCCTCTTCGAAGCTCCCCGGGACCTCGATTTTAACGAGAGGTTGAGGGACCTTTCGTCCACGTGGCCCTCTTCGTCGATCAGGCACAACGTGCCACGAGTCAGCGCGTCGTGCAAGGCAGCATTGCCGCGACTAGGGTCGATCTTAGTCAAAGGATCAGCCGGCATCATGCCGTGAGGGAGCCACCGAACCTTCGATCCGATATTGCTCAACGAATCTCGAATAACCGCCATTTCAATGGCATTGCGACGATCCGCTCTCGATCCGGCGCTGTTCTTGGACAGCGTACCGAATACGCTGTTAGCGCCCACCACGGACAGAGATGAGGCCGAGTCTCCGATCTCGCAATCACGAGCCAGAATCACCGAGAAGGGCCCCTGAGAGGCCATCCAGTCGGGACGCTGAACGTCCCCAAAAACCACATCCCGCCACATGATCTGAAGCCACTGGGCTTCCGCCACAGCTCCAGAAAGTGCCGGAGTCTCAGCTGCGATCGTGCTGGCCACAACTCTCTTGAGCCGCTGGCTACGCCACGACAGCAGGCTCACTCTCGCACGGCGGTTCTCGCGAATGGCACCATCCGCCGCAAACGCGAGCCATCCAGCCTGAGCGCCCCCCCCAGCGAGCGGATCCGGGACCTCCTGCGTCGGACGCGGTAACAAACGTAGTAGCAAGGGGATCGAGGGGCCAAATCGTGATGTGCTGGGAGGCTGAGGCACGAAGAAACTTGACTGCCTCATTCGCCATCAGGGCGTCCTCGACTGTCGGCTCAGGCAAAGCGGCCGCCAACAGCGAGGCGCTGCCGCAGACATCTGGGCGCGATTCGCGCGCCAGCCACTGGATCTGGGCCACGGTCGTCCTGTAGGACGAAATTTCCGCGGCAGTCAAGGCGCTCGAGGTCTCCCCTCGGCGATGCTTGTCAAGGGCAATGGGGGTCAATTGCTCACGGACGTATTTCTCCTGATCAACGATTATCTTCGTTCCCTTCTGCTGTATATGCCGCCCCGCATAGTCAGCCCCCCCCCTCCTCCCATTTACCGAACTTGAAGCGCTCAAAGAGGCGCTCCTTCAAACGCGAAAGCACCTTAGCATCTCCGGAGACGATCAAATCGGCCACCTCAATGAGCACCAAGGGACTGAAGCCGACCGGAGGCGGACCTTTGCAGCCAGAGACATGGCTCTAGAAGAGAACGCTGGAAACCAATCTCACTAAGATACTCCGCAAGGGTTCTATGCCACAGCAATGGGGCATCATTGAGGCCGCATACCGGCGCCACAAGCTCGATGAGGGTTCCCCCGGGCAACCCGAGGCCAGAACATGCCTCAACATAAATCGCTCCCCGGGGCCGGACCAACTTATTGCTTTGGCAAAACGCGTTTTTCGCGTCCGCGATTCCCAGGGGCCATCCCATGGACGCTATCACCTGGAGCACAAGCATTATCGACTCGGATTGTGGGGTGGGTGCGTACACCTGGAGGGTATCACT